GGACCATCAATGGGGTTCATGATGTTGGCCATTTTCGAAAGTCAAATCAGAGATGTACACGAGCGTCTTGTTATATCAGGGTTTGAGTCGGAGTTGAGGCGGGAAATATAAACATATACACTAGATATATATAATTGATTGTCTTGTGGAAATTGTCCATTGGTATGGTCTGAAGGCATGACCGTTTAAGTATTTCTCAACCTCCCCTGCGTAGTGCGTGAGATGACGTCGATAGTAGTAGGCTATCTTGATTAAACCTGTAATAATCATGATATCCCACGATGAGCTTTTACGTAGTTGTGGATGTCGATCCAGACAGGGACCATGACGTAAGTGGTAAACGATTCGCTATTGATCGGTCCAAAGTACTAGTTAACAATTTCAAAAATTTATCAGTGAATACTAGCCACGGTGAAACAACATCATCCTAAAAAAAGTATTACTGTCTAAATGTGGGGATTAACTCTAGCATGCTGTCATAGCTCCTGAGCTCACTTATCGACGTTGGGTTTCCATGGCCCCCTCCCTACAAACGGGATCGGGATGACGTGCATAGTAGTAGACTATTTCATAGTATTATGTACCTTCATGTACTCCACAATGTGATGGAAAGGACATCTCGAAAGCCGAGATTGGAATAACCATCAATCAGAAGGTTGTAAAAAGTACAATAATTATTCGACTAACCAAACATCAGAGTCAATTACTTTGTAAGTAGGTAATGAATGAGTCTGAAAGCCACAAGTATAGTTCTTTGGTAAGTAAACCCCTGCCCTTGCTGTACTAGACCTGTGAATGCGAAGAGTGAAGTGATACCTCACAACATTAGAAATCACAGAAATTGGGGAAGTTTGATTGTAATAGAGGTTAGTGGTTAAATCATGCCAAAAGAAGTAGGTACGTATGGATCCACCCAACGCACGCACGTAGTAGCACACACGCGCGGCGCGCCTGGTTTCCCGCCAAAACAACGGGACGCGCAAAAACCTCCATGGTGATTGCGACTGTTTGCAATCTACTAACAACCTCCCCTGTTCGTCAAATACAACACAGACCCATTCTCGAACTTGTCGCATACGTATCGCTTGTACACACCGTATTATCTCAGATTATACCTATTTCGAAGCCACAGAGGACACTCTGTAGGCGTTATCTGCCTACACAAAGTCCCGTTCCATATACAGGTCCTTCGTGTGGTTGAGCAAGGCACAGCACCAAATACAGGCCCGCCTTCCCTCCACTTCGACCTTATCACTCACAAGTCTCTACAGTTCTAGACACAAATCGCAGAATGCCGAGACCGCCCACAAAACGCAATCGCTTGACATCTAAGGCTCCGCCAGCCGCCGAGAATGATAGTCAACAGGGCCCCGGACGGCATGGCATAACCTCAAAAGCAAATACCAAGTCCACAGAAATTGCAAACCAGATCATCACGGATTTTCCTGAAATGGACCAAAGCGGCCAAGCCTCGGAAATCAGGCGGCAATTGAGGAACCAGACGCCTTTAACGAGAGCACAAGAACACGCGATCGAGTCCTCGCCCATTGGGGACCGTGAGACCACAGGCAGTCGCCCGGCTACGAGAGCTCGAGGGTACTCATCAACCCTCTCTGTTGTCGGGAGAAAGGGCGATACAGGCTCTAAAGTCCCAGGAACTCCCGCATTTGAAAGCTCGATATTAAGTAACTTTAGAAGGAGGCCCCGGCAGCCAAGCATCATGCAGATGATGCAAGCAGAGGACGGTTCCTCTGACCTTGATGATGATGATGATGATGTTTTCCTCGGTAGTTTGAGTCCGGAAGATGAGTCCACCCCTTTGAACCTCTCAAGGAGTAGGCCCCTCCCAATCCGACAAACTGCGTCACCATCGCCTAGACATCCAACTCCGTCCAGTGACGGGTCGCGCAAGCGTAAACTGTCTGGCGAAACACCACATGCTTCTCAATCGGACTCGGAAGTTACCGAGAATTCTCCTGTCACATCGCCTACATCACAACAGCGACAAAGCGGGATTGGTGTGTCAGTTGGTCATACTCAGTACCCGGATTCGCCTGGTGCACTCAGCCAAACGCTGGCCCCTCCCATGAGCAGCAGCCCGCCACTCAGCCCGACACATACGGAGTCACCACGTGGATCGGCCCAGCAGAAGCATATAGACAAGCCAGCTGAGCCGGCAACCACTAATAAGCTGGTCTTACCAACGTCAGCCCTTCAAGACAGGCTTTTACCTCGGAGAAACCGCTCACAACGTAAACGCTTTGGTATGGATGGTTCTGAGATCCGAGAAGATCTAATTGATGGCGATCAACCCGCCACTGAGCAGGATGACGACGATGACGAATTGTACTACCTACCGTCCAAACAATCATCCCGGGCACCAAGAAAGCGCCTGGTGGAACAGAAATCTGCAAAAAGTACCAGGACTGTACAGGGGGCGCAACCAATGGCAGATAGTGTCGAAGGCCAAATACTAGGCGGCCAGCACCCTGCTGCTCAGCCGAATGCCACGGCCAAAAAGCCAGGAGATAAAAGAATGACATACAGAACTATGGGACCTAATAAAGAGAACGAGCCGGTCGATACATCGCCTTTGTCATCCCCTTTATCGTCCCCGCCAGACTCAGAGGAGTCCGAGTCCGAATCCACTGCAGAGTCTACCCTGGGCAGCCATTTCCTTAGCGATGAATTGAGATTGCAAGCAAAGAAGTTTGCGGATGTTGATAAATGGGAGTTAGAATTCGAAGACGTGGCACCCGACAGCCAAGGCAGTGAAGTCTTCAGATAGCGGACACATCTATAATTGTTGCTCACGAGATTAGTTTCGATTAGTTATGGGATCAACTAGTTATCTAAGCGAATGGTCAGATTTGTCTGAGTAAGGAAGGAGATAGCCGCGCTATTGCGATGATAACCGGCAAGCAGAGTCCGCCAAATTAAACCCCGCAAATTGACCCCGCCGAATTCAAATTCTTCGACGCCCATGGTTTTCCCCCCAACAGTCATTTGATTCGAGACCGCATTTGAACTTCCACTTGGAAATCCCAATCATGACTACCTTGGATTCCATTCTGGCAGGACGATACCCTGCCAAAGCCCATGCCCGCCGGGTTGCCGAGCGTCTTCAAGTGGGCGGCTCTGCCCAGCATGGGATTATTTACCTTGAAGCACAGAAAACTCGACTTATCGAGGATAATGATGAGGCGATGCACTTCAGGTATGGCAGCTTATATTTACTCTGTTCCGATGCTCTCCTGTTGCCGCTTGATCACTTAAAACTTGCAAAGCTAATCAAGCTTCATGGCCCAGACAACGCCGATCCTTTTTTTATTTGTCGGGCTGCCCGCTCCCAGATTCGTCTCTGATCTACAACATTGACTCTGATAAATTGACCCTGTTCATCCCGCCAATTGACCCGGAGGATGTGATCTGGTCAGGCCTTCCCATGTCTGTTGCAGAGGCACTGAGACTCTACGACGTTGACCAAGTGCTATACACTACCGATGTAAATGCCACGTTGGCCTCGATCGCCTCAAATGGAAATGGTAACTCTGTTGCCTTTGCCATCGAGGGCCAGATTACAGAAGGAATCAAATTCGACGGCTTTCACGAAACCAATACCTCGGTATTGAAGGGAGCCATCGACAGCACGCGTGTGGTCAAAGATGAGTATGAGATCGCGCTCTTGAGAAAGGCAAATGACATTTCCGCAAAGGCGCATATTGCTGCCATTGAAGCATCCAAGACCGCCACCAATGAGCGTGAGATCGAGGCGGCTTTCATTGCAACCTGTATTGCCAATGGTGCCCGTGATCAAGCTTACCATCCCATCGTTGCCTGCGGCCAGAACGGAGCCACTCTTCACTATGGAAGAAATGATGACAACTTGGATGATCCAGCCACCAAGCAGAGGAAATCTAGCGTTCTTATCGATGCTGGGGCGGAGTACCGAACATACTGTGCTGACATTACGCGTGTTTTCCCTCTGGGTGGAAAATTTACCTCGGAAACACAGGAAATCTACAAAATTGTGCTACAGATGCAGTTGGAGGCTATTGCAATGTTGAGAGAAAATGTGCAGTGGGAAGATGTCCATGCGCATGCCCATCGCATTGCAATCAAGGGCTTGCTAAAATTGGGAATCCTACGTGGCTCTGAAGACGAATTGTTCGAGAAGAGGATTAGCGTCGCCTTCTTCCCCCATGGCCTAGGCCACTACCTGGGCATGGACACCCACGATACTGGTGGTAACCCGAACTATGCAGATAAAGACGCCATGTTCAAGTATCTACGCGTGAGGGGCCGTTTACCCGCGGGATCAGTTATCACTGTTGAACCAGGTGTAAGAATTCCTCACCCTTTTCGATCTTTTACTTGCTAAATAATCCTTTAGATCTACTTTTGCCGGTTTATCATTGATCCGTACCTTACCTCCCCCGAGACCAGCAAATACATCGACACGAATGTCCTTGAGAAGTATTGGAATGTTGGAGGAGTACGCATTGAAGATAATGTGCACATTACTCAGCAGGGTTACGAGAATCTGACCACAGCGCCAAAAGCTATAGAAGAAGTGGAGGTTCTAGCCACTTAGGGATTATCTGATGTATTCATAGTTATGGCTATCTTGCTTCCTCATAGTCCAGGAGATAAACCACACAGTTTAGAGAGCCCTGTAAAGATTGACTTTCGCCACGTACTGATTTTAGCAAATATACATCATACGTTGATAGGTAACCAGCAGAAGACCAGGAATGGTAGTAACTTCGATGGTAGCAAATCACGACTCGGAAAATTCCCGGAAATATGCCTCCGGACAGCTGCATAGAGCTGGCATCTGGATGGGCACCAGAGGCAAAGATACTCGAGATTGGTAGAAGTACCATAGTCGCACTGAGCCCTGGGATAAAGTGCGATATAGCTGAAGGTTGCTTGTGAAGCAATGCTAAGAGCTCGTTGGCGATAGATCGTGGGTAATTAGGCGAGTTCTCATGTTATACAAAATGACGATGTACCGCTTTGGCTTTCTGCTTGGAGCCGTGCAGAGGGTTGCGTCATTCTTGTCCCCCCTTATCCGGTGTAGGATTCAATCAAATCTCTGAAATTTTCGTTTACTATAGCCCACTCCGAAGTCGTTTCCGTCCGCTTCCTTTCACGGCCGACTCAGACTCAGCCTTGTCCTGGGCACGCTTCTCCTTCTGATCGAGGACAAGACTAAGAACATCGAAGCTGAATTGGGGAACCTCAACACACAGCTTTCGGAATTCCTCTTCAGCCTCGTGGCGGAGAATGTGGCTCCTCAGGGCCCAAAAGGTGGCCACTGGCTTTCGAATAGTAACATCGTCGACCGGAGTGTTCATGTAGACATAGCGAGCATATGCGATCTCTCCATGCGAGGTGCTGTTGATACGGTGAATCTTTGAGTGCGCTAGTGTTTTGAGCGCAGGGATCCCCAACTTGTCGGCCAAGGTGTATACTCGCGCATGCTTCAACAATTGTTCGCCACTATCGTCTATTTCGCCGGAGACTGCTTCTTGTTCGGTAGGTGTTTCAAGCTGGGAGGCCGAATAATCGCGGGTATACTGAAATTGGAGGAAATAACCAAAGGCTTCCACATTCTCCTCGGGAAGCTCAATGCGACGCTATCGGATATCAGAGCGCGGCTATGCAGAAGAGTAAATCGCATCAATTACTTACAGCGCTCGATTCACCCAAGGCAGTGACCTTCTCCGCAAGAATAGGCGACTCCAAAAGCAAACTTTGATGTGCCGACAAGCTAGTCTTGCTCTCTCCAGTTCCGACGACCAGTTCCACGATAGGTGACTTCAGGAAGCTGAAATACTGTAAGTTCAAAGGTCATATAGAGAGACAGAACATGCAGGCGCGGATATCAAATAATTGGATTGAAGAAATGATACGGGCCCTTACTCAAGGAATTGGAAGCCAGGGTTTTTCTTGGGGAGTGCTGGTGCCGTTTCTGGCTCAGCTGCGCCCGCGTCTGGTAGATCGATGTCTTCAGTGGAGTCTGCCTGGCGTTCGTTCACTCCACTTGAAGGCGCAGTTACATCGACATCACGGTCGCCAGTTTTCTGTGTAGGGTACGTGCTTTCGCTTTCGTTTCCGACGTTCGAAGAGGTCTCTGGCGCGCCCACTTGAACCTGAGGCGCGTCCATAATCTCGTAGAAACTCAGATGCGCGTTGGGATATGAAGTTCCAGCTACTGCGGCTGGACAAAGAAGGAAGGGATAGGTATTTGAGAGGACAATCAATCTGCGGCTGAGCAGCAGAGACAAATGTCTCAACAAGACGGATAGTAGGATGAAACGAGCGGTTGTCTATGACAGGAACACAACAGTGTCAATCTTATCCGTTAGTACCTAGTTCACCTACTACTTTGGTACTAGTAGTACGGATATGGTAAGGTACGGTTAGCAAGCTAAGCTAGACCTGAAAGGGACTTTTGATAAACATGCAAAGTAGGTTCCTTTACAGTAAATGAAAACAACATAGTAGTCATTTCCCGACTTGTTCAGTCTGAGACATCCATTTGCTAGTACGTAAAAAAAATATGCAAAAAAAAAAAAAGAGAGACTACCTTTGCGCTGTAGATAGTAGATAGGGTAGGCCACGGCTCAATGGTCCCTAGTACATGGCTTACCGTGCAATTGAATCGAATTTGGTGGATTCGGGTTCCACTTGGGAAGGTCTTCTCCAATCTCCATAGTAAGGACTCCGTGCGGACTCCGTACCTGCATGGAAGGCAAAATCAGGCATTTAGCAGCGACTGAGTTCCACGCTATACAACTCTACTCCGTACAATTCATTGCCACACAAGAATTATTAGTAGCACTCGTACTAGTTATACGTACCGGGTCAACGGTAGTTACTCCCTTGCAATGGTTAGTAGTACTAGTAGCCCCTTCTGCTGCCAAAATGACTACTCTGTTACTTCTTTTTGAAGAAGACGTGAAGTCTTAGTCCTCGAGGACGTCTCTAATTGACAGAAAGGTCTATCATCTACAGTAAATCATTGATGCGATGTGATTATAGATATATAGAAATACAGAAATATGTATTTATATAGAGAGAGAGAGAGACTTGTATAGGTAAACTCATCTTAACACCAAGAGTAAGTCCAGTTATACACTGGGTACAAAAGGGTATAAACAGCAAAGGAAGGCGGAGGAGGTAATAGTAGTATCATCATCAAGTGCGGGGCAGGAATGTCTTGGAACGCGAATGTAACAGAAATTAAGAAAGAGACCCAACTTGGGAAGAGACCCGACTCTTCCGCCCGCAGAAATCGGGTTGATAGGATGGTTTCCCCTAGTAGTCCCCTCTAAGTAGCTAAGCTAAAAATCCCACCCGAATTAAATACAATAATAATAAAAGAACAGTAGGAGGATAAGTAGTAAAAGAATTTTTTCTTTACGCTCTCTTTTCCATCCAGTCGTCCGGCCGGTAATATAAGAGGGGCACATGCAACCTACTATTCCTTTCACTTTGTTCTGGCGGATTAGCTCCCCACGAGTTCCCAGCTTTACCGGTCTGAAGGCCAACGTCAACTTCTCGACTCAAGTCCGGTGGTCTCTTCGACTGCCCCAGATTCACAGACGTAGTATGGCGACTAGCATCAACCCCCCCAGGGATCCTAATACCCTGAGCAACTATAACAACTGGATTTGCACCCACATCACTGCCAACTTCGACATCCTTTTTGATCAGAAAAAGCTCGTGGGAAATGTCATCCACAAGCTCAAGTCAACTACCAACGGTGATTCGAAAGAGATTATTTTGGACTCTAACCATGTCACAATCGGAGACGTCAAAATCGATGGCAAGCCTTCTGACTGGGAGCTTCTCCCTCCGTTGGAACCTTACGGCTCTGCCTTGAAGATCAAGCTCGATCAGGGAGTGAACTTGGACGAAACCATTGACGTTGAGGTACATCAGAAATTCTGAACACCCAGATACCTTCCTCGCTGTTACCTGGCCTAACACTGCAGACCATTAGATCTCCGTTCAGACTACTGAAAAGTGTACCGCACTCCAGTGGCTGACCCCGGCTCAAACATCCAACAAGAAGCATCCATACATGTGTAAGCCAGTTCAGCCCTTCTTCCGCCCAGTATCTGTCAGAATTACTCAGACCAGGCGTGATTGTTGAACTCATTGGAGCTGCTTACAAGAGTTCAATCTAGTTTCCCAGTGCCAGGCGATCCATGCACGATCCATATTTCCCTGCCAGGATACGCCGGATGTTAAGAGTACCATCGACTTCAACATCTCGTCCCCCCTTCCTGTGATTGCTAGTGGCTTGCCTGTTCGGGATGGCCTGGGGGTCTCGAAATCTGAGGGCAGATCTTTGTACCAGTTCCATCAACGTGTCCCAATCCCGAGCTACCTCTTCGCTCTAGCCAGCGGGTAAGCCTGTCATCTATCCACTAATTTCTATCAGTTGGCTCATGAATGACAGTGACATCTCAGAAGCTCCAATTGGACCCCGCAGTGTTGTGGCCACCAGCCCCGACAAGGTCCAGGAATGCCAGTGGGAGCTCGAAGCAGATACGGAGAAGTTTATCGGTGCAATCGAGGTTTGTGAGCCGCCTGGTGCAATGGACATCTCTGACCAAGACAGAAAATCGTATACCCTTACGCCTGGGGCGAGTATAATGTCCTGATTCTCCCACCAAGCTTCCCTTACGGAGGAATGGAAAATCCCATCTTCACGTTCGCCACTCCCAGCATTATTTCTAAGGTACGTATAGGAACTGTCTTGTGCAATAAAATGCTGTCTGATGCTAAATGAGACGGGTTAGGACCGAGAAAATATCGATGTCATTGCCCACGAACTCGCGCACAGCTGGAGCGGCAACCTCGTGACCAATGCATCCTGGGAACATTTCTGGCTGAACGAAGGCTGGACTACCTATTTAGAGAGGCGGGTAAGCTTGTTTTCCCTGCCCCTTCCCGCCGGCTGAGGCAGCTAATCATTTCTTTTTGCTGACAACGCTTTAGATTCTAGCTGCCGTGTGAGTTTAGCATCATGTCTTGCCGCTGTAACCAGTTACTAATCGAAACTAGACATGGGGAGGCATATCGACACTTCTCCGCCATTATAGGTTGGAAAGCACTCGCTGACTCCGTGGAGCATTTTGGGCATGACCACGAGTTCACTAAATTGATCACGGACCTCAAGGGCAAGGACCCCGATGATGCTTTCTCCAGCATCCCCTACGAGAAAGGATTTAACTTCCTTTTCCACCTGGAAACACTTGTAGGAAAGCAGAAATTCGACCGCTTCATCCCTCACGTGCGTCACCTAGGGCTCATAAGCAAACCGAACCTACTGACTTAATTTTGATCTTTTAGTACTTTACGGTGTTCAAGGGGAAGTCACTAGACTCCTACGAGTTCAAAGCGACTCTCTTGGACTTCTTTGACGCTGACGCAGAAGCGGTCAAACTGTTGAATGATCTCGACTGGGATACCTGGTTCTATGCCCCTGGGCTACCTCCGAAGCCTCAGTTCGATACATCACTTGTTGACGTTGTTTACGAACTTGCCCAGAAGTGGAAGTCCCTTCCGGATACCTCCTTCAAGCCGCAGCCCAGCGATATCGAGAACTTGAGTGCAAACCAGATCGTCGTCTTTTTGGAACAAATGCTTCTCCTTGAGCAGCCGCTTACTCCTGAGCTGTCGAAGCTCATGGGCGAAGTTTATGGACTTGCCAAAAGTGAGAACATAGAAGTCGCCAATCTGTATTTCCAGGTGGGCCTGAAAGCTGGCGATGAGAGTGTTGTCGACCCTGCGACCGAACTACTAGGCAGAATTGGAAGAATGAAGTTTGTGAGACCATTGTAAGCTGCCTTGCACCGAAAAGACAATTCATGACGCTGACAGAGCAACCAGGTTCCGTAGTTTGCAGAGAGTCAATCGGGAGGTTGCAGTCGCAACTTTCGAGAAGCACAAGGACTTCTACCACCCTATATGCCGAGCAATGGTCGAGAAGGATCTCTTTGGAAAGAGGGACGTCTAGCAATATAAACGAACCCATGGCACCCTGACTGATTTACATAATGGACAAAAAAAAAATCAACTTAAACTCATACCTGAAATAATCTTCCAGCAATGTCAACTACGCTTATTAGCCACGATAGTGATAGCAAATAAACAATTACTTCTCCACAATACATGGGATCATGCAAGTTCAAGCCCAATATGTTACATTATAATCAGTAGACATGATAGTTATACGTACAAAGGGCGAACACAAGAACGCCGACGGGTAGTTTCTAGCTTACAATGTCACCGCTTGCTATCGACCATCTTCTGATCGACTTCGGAATGAGAGAAAATACCCGGCTTCCCGTTCCTTTGCCGGTCCAGTTGGAAGACCAAGTCCGCTTCGTGCACCTGATTGAGTTCGGAAAGTACTCGCCGCATATACGCAACGACCTGAGCTATCTTCGACCAATCCAAGTCCTTGCCGTCTGGTGCAGTATGGCTCGCCTTCCAGAGGTTTCTCCAAACGGCAGCTCCCAGCACTGCATCTCCCTTAATTAGGCCTTCATCGTAGGCTGCCAAAACACCGCGCCATTGGATAAAAAGATCCTTGAGGAACTTATTGCGTATACCGCGGCTCGTCAACCCGTGAAGCACATCCATGCGATGCTCGGCACTATGTGAGAAGTGGTCGATCAAATGGCGGGAGTAGGTTTGAAGGCTATCGTGCGACGGCAACGCGCGCAACCGGACCGTCAATAAGTACATGTGCAGGAATGTAACCTGCGACCATGTCGAGAAAGTAGGAACGAGACCCAATTCTGGTGGATGATGCTCGTTAGCCACGCACCCCAAGGTACCACGTCACATCATCCATAAAGATGAAGACACCTAAGTAAACTTACCTTCATACCACCATCCTTCACCTACTCCCAAGTCTTCCCCGGCACTTGTCTTGGGAACCTGAGCTCCTTTTTGAGACAACTGAGGTATCTTGTAGTCTGCTTGTTTGGAGCAGGCCTCGAATAGCTTCTGTGTCATTCCGTAGGCGACGTAGGTCTCTGCTGCAGTACCAGGGCGCGGCCCGATCGCGCGAGCTAGCTGGGAAGAATTTCGCCGACTTTGCGAAGGAAGAGCGAAGCATGAGGCCAGCGGTTGTTGCTGATGGCTAGTGCAGCGGTGAGATACCGAGGGCTTCGAAGCATGAATCGATGTTAGAAGTGACTGATTATACGCCTGTACCTAATGTTATTGCCTTGTCAGACGAAATGTTATTCATATTGTCCTCTGTGCCAGAAGAG